TAGTAATTTAATAAATAAAGTAATAACTATAAGAAGCTATAAGAAGTAAGCTTCTTCTAGTTATATATATATGCTCTCTTAGCTAGATTAGACGCTAAGACCTAGCTCTTATAGATTCTCTAAATTAGGTTCTAATTTATAAATTAGGTTCTAATCTTTCTAATCTATCTAATCTATGTTACGTAACTCTAATTATTCTTATAACTCTATATATAATCTCTTATTCTATAACTCTAGGCTTAGCCTACTATTTTCTTTATTCTAGCTAGTTAGCCTTATTTCTAATTCTATAATTATAATATCTACCTCTTCTTCTAAAGTGTTATTCTAAAGCTTTATTCTATTTCTAAGTATAGTATTTTATTATTCTATATTATTTCTATATAAAAGTAGCGCTACCTATAGTTCTATAGTATTATACTCTCTCTTCTCTTTCTATTCTTACTATACTATCTATATATACTAAGTCTTTAATAGTTTACTATTACTATTATACTAACCTTATTCTATATACTAGCGCTAATATATCTAATAACTCTTATAACGCTTACTATTCCTATAACCTACGTTACGTTATAGAGATATCCTCTAGTTACTATTTAGAGTATATTATAAAGAGTTAGTTCTATAATAAGGTATTAGATTAGAAGAAAATAGAAAAGCTAGATTAGTTAGCAGCTAATCTACGCTCTTAGTAGTCTAAGACTAGTCTTAAGGTAGAGCGTCTTACTAAAACCTAGTAGATTAAGTTAGTTTACCTTTACGTAGAGCTAGATTATCTATATTTCTAGAAGACGTCTCTAAGTAAGTTCTAGTAGTCTACTAATACTTATAGTAAACGTCTACGTAAGTAGTTAGAGCTAGTATAGTAGTATTATAACGCGCTACTTTTAAAGAACCTTACTAATATTAAGAAGCTAGAGTAGCTAGAGTAAGAGGTATAGTAACTCTTATAACTATAACCTCTTATTTCTTTAGTTAATTCTCTTTAGTTATTTAACTA